CCTACACGTGGGTGTCTCCGTGATCGACTGGACCTTTAAGCCCTCCAATGATGAGCTGTTCTCCTTCTCGCCACAGGGATCGCCTCCTCCTGTCAGTGACATCAGGGAAACCTCTTGCTTATCCCTGAATGGATCTTATTCGTGACAGTTTCTCAGCCAATCAGGGGAAGGCATGGGAAGTCTGCATAGTTCTCATTTTTATGTGAGTTTGTGCTTATAAATTTGAGGAATTTGCTGATGCTTGAATCCCTTTTGGCTAAACTGAATAAATATCTTCAACCCGGAATGCTTGTTCTCTGTCCTGGCTAATCTGGTTTAGCAGAAGCTCACCATGCATGGACCTCTCTATTCAGTCTTAGCTGAAATCTCAACAATGACACAAATAGTAAAAGCAATCTAAGGATTGTACAGTAGAAACTGTTGTAATGTTGCTATATACATAATGTGGTAAATAGAATATAAGACTCCTTGTACATCATTATAGGAGTCCCTATAGTTGAATTTACAGATTGAAACTATTTCATCAGGGTCTGAAAAAGGTTTCTAGTTGAGCCAGGTGGCCAGGACTCTGATTAGAGATTTAATTTCATTTACATCCCATCTTTCTCTTAGCACAAAATCCAAAGTAGCTATTTATGGATATTGCGCGTCATTACACAAGCACTCTTGACTTCTTATACATTTGGAAAGGATAAGAATATTAAATAATTTCCAATGTGATTTCATTGCAGTGTATCTAACGCTTCTTGAATATTGAATCCACGTCTGTTTTCAATAACTCGTATGCCACTTACTAAGAAGTAGGTCACATCTAGCTCCATGAGACTTATTTCTAAGAAAATATACTGTAAAGATTTAGTGTGTGTGTCTGTATGTATATAAACATTCACAGCATAAAGAGCTCTGATAAGAACCCTATCATGTCCACAGAATGCTTATGTGTGGTAATAAAAGGAATGAGCCTCTAAAATGGGTACTACTGTAAGCTTTTATTATATGAAGGTTATTTCAAGCATTTAAAGGTTACTACGGGAGGAAGAAAGCATTCACTGGAAATTTCAGGCATAGAAATACTTGGTATTTAAACTGAACTGAGTGTAATTCTATAAATCTGCTAAAGAAATAAGTGACTATCAACAAATTATGAGCCATTATTCCTAAAAATGTGTGTGTTCATTCTTTATTTTATAAAAGGTTAATTTATATATTTTTATCATTGAATATAAAATTTTAGTTAATTATTAAGTAAGACCTATTCACTGTATTAATACAATGCTTTCTGTCCCAAAAGTATCTGGGCTGGGGGAGAATAAAAGACAGGCATGTGCCAGAATTTAAAGATTATTATAGCTAGGATCTCAAGGTGAACTTGCATGCAGTCATCTCAGTTATGGAAACATAATATTTGCATTCCCCCAATGACCTGCTGTAACCTTTTGAAAAACTTTAGTCACACCAACAAAGCTGGGGCATTGGTCAATATATGGTAAAATGAGACTCACCCAAATTATCATTGAACGTATTTTTAATTGAATTGGCAAGCTGGGATGGATAGGCTCTGATAAGATAAATTTGCAGTCTGGCTTTCCTTAATCAATATAGAAATGTTTTAAAATATAGTATGTAAATGTTCTCAAAAGCCTATGTGAAAATGTGGGGAGCATTTTTCTCCAGAAAGAAAGTGAAAGAATGAATAAGAAACACTTACTTCATCATACTAGGGAATGAATCCACTTTAAATCGGATTTCTGCCTTCTGCAGAATTCGCAGGTTTGTAGTTTAGTGAGGCTGTTAAAGGCTCCTCCCTAAACTACAAATCCCAGATTTCTTCAGGAGGCAGAAACTGGATTTAAAGTGGATTCTTTCCCTAGTGTGATGAAGTACTAAGTGAACTTCCAATGCATGAATGACTGTATAATCGGTCCTCTGTATCTATAGAGTCAACCAATTACAACTCAAAAACATTTAGGAAAAAATCCAAAAAAGTAAGCTTTGGTTTTGCCATATAGCAAGCACTAAAATGATGTACAGGTACATGTACAAGTTAAATGCTGGTGAGTAAAAATAGAAAAAGAAGACAAAGAGGAAAAAGCAGGCACAAAGGATATGCTTATACACTCAAATGTTTTGCAAAGCATGTAGACTACAGGTTTTGTCTAAGCTACAACTTAAAAGTAAATCTGTGGATTACATTTTGTGCTCAGAACCAGCCAAGTTCTTTGGATATGTTACTAGATACTTTAAAATATGGATTCTGAGTATGCCCAGTATTACTTGCAATGTATATACACTGTAGAATTAATACAGTTTGACACCATTTAAACTGCCATGGCTCAGTGCGATGAGATCTTTAGCTTTCTCTGCCATTTGAGTATTGGACTAGGATGCTAAGAGACCAGAGTTCAAATCTTCACTTGGCCATGAAAACGCACTGGGTAGCCATAAGCAAGTCACACTCTCTCAAACCCAAAGGAGGACAATGTCAAATCCTCTCTGAAGAAACTGACAAGAAAACCCTGTGATAGGTTCACTGTAAGTCAAATAACTTGGAAGGCACACAACCACACATTTTTCTCCTTAATGTAAGTTCTACTTAGTTTGAAATCGAGCTGCACTAAGCTTTGGAATAAGTGAAATCCATGATAACACAAAGCTATCACTTGCAGAAACTGATCAGACAGCAGTCCCGTATGGAGATATGTTTATGCTGTGTGGCTGGAAACTGCAGAACCATAAAACCATTTGGGTGTGGGTTTAACCGTTTATTTGCAGTGTGAATTAGCACAGTAAAATCACCTTAAAATGTTTTCCTTCTTAGAAATATACCCAGGAATATCACATGGTTCTTCGGTGGAAAACCAGGAAATCATGAGTGCAAGAAATTGTATTGTTTAATATTGGATGTACAAAATGGTAAAAAATACCTACAATATTTACTTGTTTACCAGACAACATCCTCAGATTTAACAACAGCACACACAAGAATCAAATATTTGTATTCAAAGAACAGTTCCAACAGACCCAAATTAGATCTACAAGACTTACAGGATGAGGCATAGAATATAATCATGTTGAAAGGCTAGATGAAAACTATACTAACCATAAAGAAACAGCAAGTTTCCCCATATAGTTCTTCCCTGTGCTAATTCAGAAACATGTATCAAAGAGCTGCCTGGATATTTTATAATGAATAGTTGGAACTCTTCAAACAAAAGTCAAGTTTAGACCATGACTGCAAATATATAAGTGATGCAGCATGGTTGAGTTTGTATATTAACTATATTTTGAAGCTATATATATTATGAAGTAAACGGTTAGAGCACCTTTGATCATTTTATTGTAGAAAAAATATCCAACAACTGCTTTTGGGAAATAAAATACAATAAAATGTATCTTCCACATATATTCAGCTAAAATTTCATATATACTGTTTGGGCACATAAAGTTGAGTAATTTGAATAAAGTTTTCACAACAAATCAAATCCTCAGACCACTGGATTTAAAAGCCTCGTTGCACAAGCAGAAAATACTTCACATCATGACAAGCTCTCTCCCCAATAGCAGCTCTCACAGTTTAGATGTTCTCCCCTGAGTCTCTGGACACATAGTTTAAGATGAATGGGAGATTGAAGATGGTGAAAAGAGATGCTCAAGCCCACCCACCTCCCATATATATGATATATTTACCTTTCCTTTTACACAGGTTCTACTGATCACAGCTTTATATTAAGGCACAATGACACAGTACGTGCCTTTAAAAGGTGAATTCATGGAGGACAGTCATCAATGGGTTTACAGTATCGTGTGGAACATGGGCAAAAGCAGTATCAAAATCATTTCAAAATGGAAGCTCCTTTTTGAAAAATCCAAAGGCCACTTGAGGCTGAATTACTTTCTGGGATCCTATCTGAAAAGATTTTAACAGGTCTGACACATATATGAGTCAATAATTAAACAGCCCTTCCATAATGAAGTAAACCACAATTTTATGCATCACATCTTGTCTTGGTTCGAATTCGGGGAGTGGGGTGAGCTTCTGTCTGTCAGCTCCAGCTTCCCATGTGGGGACATGAGAGAAGCCTCCCACAGGATGGTAAAACATCCGGATGTCCCCTGGGTAACACCCTTGTAGATGGCCAATTCTCTCACATCAGAAGCAACTTGCAGTTTCTCAAGTTGCTCCTGACATGAAAAAACAATCATGTCTTTTGTCTATGTGATGACAAACCATTTACCCTCTATAAACTTTTCTACCCATATGCAAAGTTTCACCTGCTGCCTTAAAAAGGGGGACATAATCTTAATTATTTGGACCAATGAACTTTTAAAACATTATTCTCTGATTCAAGAATATGATGTGTATATCCATGAACTAATTCCTTTAAATGGGCAAATGCTTCTAGAAAGGTTCTTAGGTCGCTCAAGCATTTAGGACTGAAATAGCATTGTGTCACCCCAATTTACAAAGAGCACAGTTTATTATTTTCAAGGAGATGCTTTTAAAAACCATCCAAATTATATGCAATCAGTGAAATTATCATACTTAATGTAAATGTATTTTTTTTTTAAAAAATACAAAGATGAAGACACGTTTTATGAATTCCCATTAAATGCTAGGAACAGAGAGAAAGAAAATACTGTAAACCATAGCCCAAATTTTAAAGTAAAAATACAGGCCAGGATCCAAAGTGGTACGTAAGATGTTTCGCATGCACTCAGATGCTTTTTGACACCATTACCAACCTTTCTTTCTTGCCCTTGAAATGCCATTCCAATGTTTGGGAGCTTTCTATAACAAAATTTGTTAAAGAATTGAGACGTCCCTGCTATGGTCAAGTACAGAAGTGACTTGGTTACCTCCCTCCCAGCCACTGCTCAGACTAGAATCATGATGGAAAATCAATGAACAACTATTTTCAGAATAGCTTCCCAATTTACTTTGACTCCCCACAGAAATTCTGACCTAAGATGTGCAATGAACAAACATTTCTTTTTCTGTGTCTGTCTATGTGTAATTGGAACAAAATAATTTATTTAAAAGAAAAGGGGAGAAACACAGAAGACAAATATAAAGTTGAAAAGTTAAATGAGAAAATTAGAGCATTTGCATTATTTGCAATATAGGTATTGCAAAATTAAGGACCTATGTTGGTTGCATGGACTGGTTAATCTTGCTCCATTACGTCAAATCTGGACTTGTGCAACTTGTTACAGATTTGGTTTGTTACTCTGAAAAGCACCATGGATGGCAAGGGCTGTTTTAATCGTCCTTTTCTACAATCACTTCACCGTGAAGTACTTTTCTTCTTTGACGGAGCATGTGAAAGTACAGTTGTGGAAACACTATTAAAGAAGAAAAGAAGTACAGACTGTGTTAAATATATCAAAACTAGGAGATGCATCTATCTTTTATCAGTTCACTAGACAATAAATGGTGATTTCATCTTTAATAATGAGTATTATTTTAGTAAACAAAATAGCAATGTCTTTATTAATGGTTTTTCACTTTCACTGTTGTCCTACACCCCTAACCCCCAGTGAATGTGGAGGACTAATTCCAATGTCTATGAGCTACAGTTCTCAATCTTAGGTACATTAAGAGTGTCTTATCAGCTCTGCTGTCTAAAATCCAACTTAACTGGAGATTCTGAACATTTACCTACCCTTAATCACTGACCCCAGAGTGATGGACTCAATCTACCTTAAAGCAATTAAATAGAATGCAAAACTTTACTACGGACCTCATCACACTAGAGAATGAATCCACTTTAAATCCAGTTGCTGCCTCCTGTAGAATTCTGGGGTTAGTAGTTTAAGGAGGAGCCTTTAACAGCCTCACTAAACTACAAAACCCATAATTCTGCAGGAGGCAAAAACCGGATGTAAAGTGGATTCATTCTCTAGTGTGATGAAGTCATATAAATATTGGTGTAGCTGACATACAAGTAAAAACAAAAGTTTCTATTGATATTTACATGGTATATAGGAGGCCATGACGATGAGAAGGAAGTAGTAATAGTCAAAAGAGACGTTATACTTGTTGGGAAGTCTCACTGAAAAAATGCCCGACTTCTTCACATAGGGTAAGGCAGCATAAATAGTTAGAAGTTCACCAACAACTCCTACTGGATATAAGATGATGAAAAAATTGTACCTGGAAGAAAATCCAAACAAATAGCTTTAAGAATTCTCTTTCCAAAGAGCTGGTGTTTTTGCACTCTTCATGAGCAGCACAAAAAAACATGGCAGGTTAATGTTCAAAGCCTATGCATAACTATTTGCTAACAAGATCCATAAACCTCAACAGAATTTCCTTGAATAAAACATGCATAGCATCGCTCAGCATGCATACCCATATGTCTAACAGTGATTCCTAATGTACTAGTCTGGCTTGAAAACCTGTCTTTGAGGTGTATAGGTTCAAGGTAATGAGCTAGGACAGTGGTTCTCAATCTGTGGGTCCCCAGGTGTTTTGGCCTAGAACTCCCAGAAATCCCAGTCAATATACCAGCTGTTAGGATTTCTGGGGGATGAAGGTCAAAATAGCTGGGGACCCACAGGTTGAGAACCACTGAGTTAGGAGAACAAAATACATGCCTGATTTGATCCATCAAATGTAGATAGTAATACGTGTCTATATTGTCTCACCATATCTTACAGTATTTTATAGATGAAAACAGATGGTAAGGGTTTTAATGAGAAAACCAAGTAGCAGTTTGCTTTTGCCCAAGCCTATTGGAAAGGGCAAATTTTCATTGCTTTCCCTTCTCTTCCCATTGCTGAGTTAACTGAGTACAAATTACTTTTGCACCCTGAATCGGTTTTCAGCAATGGAAAGAAGCAGGGAACAAAGAGGGAAATTAGTTGACTGGCATTAATCACCACTCCTTTTAGAGGTAGCATTTATAGTCCAACTAGTGGTGTGGGAGCATCATTTGTGTGTTATTTGCTTTTTCTTCGCAATCAGTATTATTTAATTTGACAATCAAGAAGAATATTTCCATGTGTTATAACACTGAACTTCACTTTATGGGTACGTTCAGAACTTTAATTTCATGATACAAGGAAACTTTGTCAACTTTAGTTTTTTAACTTTTAAAGACAGAATATTTTAAGAAAAGAGAAGGTGCATCAATTATTATGGTCATTTATTACACAAGGCTTCTGGTGTTATCTGACAATGTATATCCTTCAACTAACAATGAACACTGTATTCATTTAGTTCACTTTACATATTTCTGCAAAAATCTGTGCTTAACCTTTTTTCAAAGGTAACACCAGCTAAAATGAATGTCATTCTAAATCAACATTTGAAGATGTACCTATAATGAATGTTGGGAACATATTTATGAAATATGCAAGTACAGACAGTCCCGGAGTTACAAACATCCAACTTACAAATGACTCATTAAGAAAGGGGGTGAGACAAGAGGAAGTGAGAGAAATCCACCCCTAGAGTTACTCCTGAAAGAGTTATTATGGGGAAAAGGTGACTCCACAACAAGCCAATAAGTGAGATGAATTCTTCTGAACAGGGACACAGACAGTAAAACAAACACCACAGGGGTGTTTATCCTTCCTTATGCAAAGCTTGCTCTCTCTCTCTCTCTCTATATATATATATATAAATATATATATATACACACACACACAAAGGTTGGAGTCATACTAAGAAATATATTTGTTCTGACATACATACAAATTCAACATAAGAACAAATCTACAGAACCTATCTTGTTCGCAATTTGGGGACTGCATGTATAGGAATTTGAGAGTTCATGGTACAGTTCAACAATGAAACATATTGGTCTAGAAATCTGATGGTTTTGGGGGGAAACTTCCTTTCATTTGTCAGATTACAAATTGGAGATTTTTTATTGGGAAGCAATAATATTTTGTAGCATTTTCTATAAAGAAAGCCATGCAAATGCAGTAATTAATAAAGAACTGGCGCTCAATCTGGGAAAGTCAACACGAGTTCCTTCCAAGGGTCAGAAAGACATGCATAATATACATTCCATGCCCAAAACAGATGAGGGTTAAAATGGCAAGCTATGGAACATGAAACCCCCACAAGAACTGTTTGAGTTAGAGAATACATAGGTCAACTAGAATGGACAATATAGATTTCAAAAAGCAGTAAGAAAGAGTAATAGCTTGAGGAAAAGGAGTAACTTGATTAATAAGATTTAAGCACAACAGAAACAAATCACAGGGGACCACTATAGAGTGAAGCTAAGTTCTATTAAGCCCTATTAATTTTATTAAGTAAATGCAAGCAAGGCTTATTTCTGACAGCGAACACAGGAGATCAGAGAGCCTGAACCAACAGAAAATTGTACAGTGTGAAATTTGTGAAGATTGATGCACTGAAGGGGAATGTGCTAATTTAATTCTCTTGAATTCCGGAATCTAAGAGAAATACACATGGGAGAAACATTCATTATAGAGTTATTTCCTTGTTCTGTAGTATTCTCATGTTGTGGGGGAGTGGCATAACACCTGCTTTTCATACCAGAGATCCCAGCTTCAATGTCTGGCATCTCTAATAAGAAAACTCTAATATAGAAAACAATTGAAAGTTTTCTACGATCAAATGGGACAGTTTTGAAAGATGACACCTGGAATATTGTTTCCAATTCTGGGCACTGCAATTTAAGAGAGATGTTGACAAGCTGGAATGTGTCCATAGAAGGGCGACTAAAATGATCAAGGGTCTGGAGAACATGTCCTATGAGGAGTGGCTTAAAGAGCTGGGCATGTTTAGCCCACAGAAGAGAAGGCTGAGAGGAGACATGATGGCCATGTACAAATATGTGAGGGGAAGTCATAGGGAGGAGGAAGCAGGCTTTTTTTTCTCCTGACCTGGATACTAGGTTGCAGAATAATGGCTTCAAACTACAGGAAAGGAGATTCCACCTGAACATTAGGAAGAACTGAAGCTAGCAACATGCTTCAAAATACCTGGCCAAACACAGCAACTTTTAATCGGGTACATGTATGAGAGCAACATCTTTGCCAATAAGTGATGTTGTATAGTTCCTACAAAACTTATTTCCCTGCGTGAAACAATCTAGAGAAGAGACAACTCTAAAGATGGTGATACACAGAGAAGTTGCTATAAGGATATAGTAGTAGCTCTTTCAAACAAGTGCTCCAAGTGCATTTGGGTTTTTAAAGAAAAACACCTTGGAAGCAAATAAGCAGCCAATATAACTTTGTAAAAATCATTGCACTTGAAGGATGAAGAACATGCAGTCCCCTCGATGGTTCTGGGAATTTAAAAAGTACCTATAAATAATCATTATGTATTTTATTCAATATGTAATTTTTTGGAAGAGACACAGGTTATATTGTAAAAATGTAAGTAACACAAATATTATGTCAGGATAGGTTAGAATAGTCAGCAGCAAACTCTTTGTTTAAAATATATCCAAAGCTATGAAACTAAAACACTACAGTGAAAACTAATCACGGTTATCATCCACACAAACTAAGCTCTCACAGCTGAGTAATTCTTTGTTGGAATGGCATGCAAGAAAGGGGCATGCACAAAACAATGAGAAACTAAACTGCAAGGCATTCTCCACCTGGCCCATTTTATGAAGTATGGTAAGTGGTTAAGCATATTGAATGTGTAGAAGGAATATCGAGTAATCTCTGTCACAGTCCATACGACCAGAAAAAGAATAACGCTGTCCTCATTCTGGATCTGTAGAAGTATAAAGAACCAATAACTGCTGCATCCTTAAAATGGCAATACAATTTGGAAAGACATAAACAGATAGCACACCCATACACCTTTTTCTTAAAGAATGCATTATTTAGAAAACACTGAAGTGGAAGACTGAACAGAAATGGAATAATATTAGCCAGTTCATACACACAATACAGACCAAAAAGCAGGAAGGGAGAAGGAGAACAAAAGAAGAAAGGCATCACCTTTCAGTCTAACTAAGGCTGGATCTATACTGACACATAATCCGGTTTCTGAATCCAGACTATCTGCTCTAAACTGGATTGAGTTTACACGGCCATATAATCCAGTTCAAAGCAGATAATCTGAATTCAGAAACTGGATTGTATGGCAGTGTAGACAGAGCCTAAGATAAAGAGGAAAGCAAGTAGAAATATATAGCTGTCCTTTACTAAATGGCTAGGCCATTTATACAAGCAAATTTGAAATGGCCACAGAAGAAAAAAAAACACCCATACTGATATTCTATCTCTGTTTACTCTCTCTACCAATGGGCAAAGAATTCCTCTTTCAGCACACAATGGGAATCGTGTGAACAATGACATATACCCATTTGTTCAAAACCATATCCATATCTGTGTATAGTAGCACAGATATGTGATTTTAATAGAGATTGGTATAATGAAAAACAGGCAGGGGCTATCCTGCTTTGTTATAATTATTAAGTACTAAAAAACAAACAAGGACAGACAACAGCTATGCTCAGTATCACACAGATAAGATGGACTGCATGGAATCAGTTTAATGAGAAGTCCAGCTTTGATCAGAATGAAACCTTCACAGTTGGCTAAACATGTGTAGAATAACCATGAAACCCTGATTATAACAGGGCTGTGAAATATGTTGAATTTCACATCCGATAAGCCTTAGATAAACTGGTCAGTGGAGAGGGATGATGGGAGAATTCATCAACATTTGGAAGGCCAAATGTTTCTCACCCCAGCTGTGCGAGATAGCAGAAACACATCAACAATGTTCCAATTAAATTGAATTATCAATGCAATTAGAATTTAATTGGGGTAATATTTAGAATAAGGGTGGAAATGTGCTAAACTCTTTGCCCCATGAATTGGATTCGAAATCCAAGTGGCTGTCCTACTTGTAAGAGAAAAGACACACCGAGATCCTCATGACAAAAATAGATTTAACTTATTTGCCTTGCAATGGACCTGTGTATTGTTATTAGTGTAAAGGCACATGTGTTTGGCCTTTATGTTTTTAAAATAATACTTTTTCAAGGAAAAAACAGTCTAATCTAATCAAGATTGTATAACACTTCTCCTATTCTATTACCTGCTGAGTTTGGGGTTTCATCACACACAACAATATTTTTCCATCCTGTTTTATTGTGTTTCTTCTGTGCTCAAGGTCCAGCTTCCTCTAATATTATTTTAAACTCATAAGAATGCTCTCTTTATAATGTTTTTGGTGGTGTCAATAAAAATGTGTTGCTTTGAGATTTTTGATCTACTGGATAGGCTCTCATTTTTCACCCTTCAAATCGTATGTCCTCCAACTCACTCCTGCTTTCTTTGGTTTTATTTACTCACGGAGTGTCAATGGAGGCATGGATTCATGCTTGCCTCTCCTAGAGCCATTTTTACTTATGCCATAAAAGAAATTTCCAGTATTTTAACTTGGAGGGAAATGTACATTCTTCTGAGCAGATGATACAACATAAAAATGTGCTAAAAAGAGGTCACAGAGAATTATACAAAAAAGACCTTCCCCTGCTAAAGATGTTTCAAATACTTTTGCAGGGGAAAAAAACAGGATTGGAGAATTTTCTAAGTATTGTTTCATATAAGAGATGGCTAAGTGCCATCTGCTGGTGATATAGCTCAATGGCTCTGGTTTGTTTTTTTTTAAAGATGCATCAGAATGCACTGACATACACACATAATCTGCTCTCAAATATATATGAATAAAAAGCGTTATGAAATTCATGAGGTCACTGTAAGTTGGCAGGCAACCTGAAGGCACACACACAGGGGACTCATTCATATAGTGAATATCAACAGCTTAAATATGACAGCCAGCATGATGTAATGGTTTGAGTATTGGAGGATGACAGTGGAGACCAGCGTTCAAATCCCTGCTCAGACATGAAAACCCACTGTGTGACCTTGGGCTGGTTACACACTCCCGGTCCCAGAAAACCTCATGATAGGTTCACCTTAGTGTCACTATAAGCCGTAAATGACTTGAAACCAAACAACAACTAGCTCTGTATTGTCAAATTTGACTTGAAGAAAAAATTAAGGGTTTCACATACAATTCTTTTCTAGTATTGCCTAGCGATCTTTGGCATTTCTAGTAGTTTCTAATCCAAGAACTAATCAGGCCTGATCTTGCTTAGCTTCTAAAATAAAGTACTATGTATGTTCAGGGTGCGTGGCAGAATGTTTACTGAGCTCATCCGATCTGCTGAAGGTATGATTAAACTTGGATCTAACCTCATTAAAGTTGATTGTATAATCACCATTAAATCAAGTACTGGACTTGGCCCAAAACATTTTCATAATCTAAGAAGTCAAATGATATTGAGGGAGATACTTCTGAAGAATGGCACAAAATGTCTACTTTTACTTGGGAACCAAAACCACTCAACTCAGAACTCGTTTCGCTGGCTCTTTGAGCAAGCGTTTGGCTAATCAGCGCAATTGAACATAGGACGACGGTAAATTGAACATAGGAATGGCACAAGGATTATGAGAATGGATTTTGCTTTGTGATCGAGGCATCATGAATTGATAATAATTGTGTATTTTGTTATTGTGTATGATGTGTTTTAACTGTTATTGTTGTGTTAATTTACATTGTGTAAACCGCATTGAGTCGCCTAATTAGGCTGAGAAACGCGGTATAGAAATAAAGCAAATAATAATAATAAATAAATATTAACAAGACTGGGTTCCTTTCTCTGTTTACTTCCAGATACCAGCATGTCAGAAACTTAATAGTTGGGATATTTATAGGATCAACTTTTAAGTGACTTAATATGTATACATACTTAATATGTATATGATACAGAGAAATCTGTATCAACTTTAGGAAAAACAAATGCTGTAGTGCGTAAAAGTCTGAAAGTGAAAAGAACTGAAGCAAACTAACAAAAACATCTGTACATGTGTTCAACCTTAGGCTTATTTCCACTTAATCCATTCAACATGTGCTAATTTTAAGTTCTCTCTGAAACAGAAACAGCCAGCATCCTAGCTGAATAGGCTGACGAAGAGATGTGTCAGCCTTTGATCTTGTTTCATAGAGAGAGCAAATCAGGCAGCAAGCCAAAACAGCTCAGATATCCATCTCCGGTGGTGTTTAAGCCCTTGTCTCCCACATGTAAGGCAAATGCAAATGGAGAACTTTTAAAGTTCTGTCTGCAATTACAATCCTCCTGAGAGTTAACCCTACTGAAGATGGTTCTACTCTGAAAAACACGATGACTTGTCACTGAAACTATCACTATAAGAACACAGGAATAGGGAACATTTGGTTCTCCAGACATTGCCGTACCCAACTTCCATGACCCTTAGGGAATGAAGCCAATGATAAGGGACTGTAAGAATTGTAGTCCAACAACATATGGAAGTTACACATTGTTCCTCCCTGATATATATAAATTGAAAGGCAAATGTTTTCCCTAGTGCTTACCTGCTTAATACTATGTGTAATAAACCACACCATGAAGATCCTGGAACACACTTGGACCCCAGTCACAAGCACCGAAGTGTGCACTACTCCTTAAAAAGAGAAACATGTCATCTTTGTCCATAGGGCAGGGGTTGTGCTTAATTAATTGAGAAACTGAAACAAAGACTCACCAGCTGCACAGTGGATTATCTGCAAATTTAAACAGAGCAAGAGTGCATGTGTTAAAAGTCTAGTATTTAAAATGGGTTTATGATAAGGAGAGACTTCACTCAAGACAATTAGTTTCCCAAGGCATAACAAACAACTTTCACCTGCACAAAAGTTGAGATACTTCACATACAAGGCTAGTCACTGTGGCACAAAATTAGAAGAATCGCTGGCACAACAAATAAAATGGTATACATATTAAGTCACTGAAAAGTTGATCCTATAAATATCCCAACTATTAAGTAGGAATAAACATTTGAAGGGGTAATTTATGCTTACCACATTTAAACATGTATGGCCAATGTGAGTAACACTATTGTTTACTACACCCCATTTCACACTAATCACATTCCCACAACATATACACTCCATATATGTCTACCTAAGGCTTAACCACTGAACCATCGAACATCTGAGGAAACAAATTATAGTTTGTGAAGTAAATTTGATATCCCCAAGCCATTACTGTTAATCTGAAATAGAACAATAGGCTATGGAAACTATGCTATACTATTAATACCTTGTAAGTAGTGATTACAAACAAAGTACTATGCATCTTGATATGTTTTTCAGAAGTTTTGTTAGATATCTGTAATCATACAGTATATGCCAATCCAGCCATGGTGTTCAAGCCCAGCAAACAAACAGCTTCTTACATCACTTATGGAAAAGATTATAACTATGGAAAAGGCCACTGCATAACTGGTAGCTGAACCAAGGATAATGCTATTTAAATTCTTTGTCTGGCATTCTAAAGATTAAGAAATGTTTCTATCTTGTAACAGAGACAGTGAAACTGTCATCTTCCAATTCTATTCTTCTACTGCCAAGACAACCAATACTCAAGAATGATAGTAGCTGTGGCCCAAGAATGTCTGGAGGGCAACAGGTTCTTCACTGCTGCCCTAAAGGATTCATTTTCTTGTAAATCAAGTGCATATGGAAAGATATAGTACTATAAATTCTCCCACAGACATTGGGAGTTTAAATATGATGCAGATAGCATCTATTTGTGTATTTATAGAGCACCATCAATTGACAGTCTTGAGCCCCCTGTAGCACAATGGGTTAAACCCTTGTGCCGGCAGGACTGCTGAGCAAAAGGTTGGCAGTTCGAATCCAAATAGCCAGGTGAGCTCCCATATGTCAGCACCAGCTTCCCATGTGGGGACATGAGAGAAGCCTCCCTCAGGATGGTAAAAAATCCACGTGTCCCCTGGGCAACGTCCTTGCAGACAGACAATTCTCTCACAACAGAAGCAACTTGCAGTTTCTCAAGTTGCTCCTGACATGAAAAAAAAATGTACAGTCCTGCATACAAATATAATAAAACGATTGGCTTTGCCATTTGCATGATATTTAATTATGCAGACAAAAACATCTGAAAGTGGCTCAAAATTTAAAGAACAGCATTTCTTAAGCTAACAGTACTGTAGCACAAACATTGTACATCAAAGCTACCAGTGTTATATGTGCTCCAAGAATGTTCAAGAAGCTGGAGCAAGTATGAAATGGACAAGATGACACATACTGCCTTCCCCTAGAACAATGGTTCTCAACCTGGGGTCCCCAGATGTTTTTGGCCTACAACTCCCAGAAATCTCAGCCAGTTTACCAGCTGTTAGGATTTCTGGGAGTTGAAGGCCAAAAACATCTGGGAACCGCAGGTTGAGAACCACTGCCCTAAAAAGAGGAGGAAATGAGGGGGAGGACAGAAAAGAACATTGTAGCATCTTTAAGACTATCTGGTTTTTGTTTCAGCAAGAGTTTTCATGTTTGCCTTCTACTGCTTCATGGATGTTTAATCTGTATTATAGGTGATCTACCAGTATTACAACTGTTTTAGGCTGGTGATTTGTAAGCAAACAAAGTCAACTGTGTGGATCTTCTAAATCTTAAGTGAAGCTATGAAATATTTGCAGAGGTGTTACTACAGCCCTCCATTCGCCGAGGCACAAGACCCATGGAAAAGTTAGAAAACACATTTTAAATATTGTTGTTGTTGTTGTTGTTATTATAATCTCTAGGTTTTCCAACATGATTCTGGTCAATTTCTGCAGGATGCTAACCAAAAAACTGCACTGGAGACCAAGTTCCATGCAAACTGAAAAAACTGGACTCCTAGAGAGAATATTTTAACCAAACCAATAATAGTCAAATACACAGAAGTGGAGACCTGACTATACTCCTTTTCTTTTCTTTTCTTTTAAAAAAACCCTAACAAATACTTAGCAATCCTATTTTGTTTGGTGTTATGACCAATAGGAAGATATAGAGCTAGTGCCAAGTATGCTGCACTATGACACATGTGTTGAGGTGCAACTGATACAAAACAAGTACTTCTACAAGATGCATATACAAACCGCAATTACAGTTTGCTCAACCATGATGGCTCAGAAATTGATTATTTCTTGGTAAATGTATGTAGAACTTGGAATGTTGGATTTTGTTTTAGATAACAGGCCCCAAAATGCCCTAGCCAGCATATCTATTGGCCATGGTAGCTGGAATATTCAGGGAATATGTCACCCAAAATGTAATTAACCTCTGTGCTACAGGTGGGGATCATGTAGCTCTTGGCTGTTTTGGTGCCTCTGAACTGAAAAGTACATTCTGCTCTCCAACTCAAAACTGGCTTCATTCATATCAAAGCCATTAAGCTATTAACTAGCAAGAATAATTCATTTTCACTGAAATCCGAAGACTGGTCATGACAACAAAGGGGACTATGCACTTTTAAAATTCTAAACATTCCCTTTCCTATGAGAAAGATTAATTCCTTAAAAGCTTACCTCAAGTAAAGCAAAAGTCTGGAAAAATTTAAGTGTCTTTTGGATGCTTTTATATAAGCCTTTGTATGTGCCTTTTTCCATGTAAAACCGTGCCATGGCGATAGCCAACACCAGCCACCTAGACAAAGAGAAAAGAATATATTTATTCAAAAAACACACACTTCATATTTTGAGTGAACTACTTTTATATATATTTCACACCAACAATACTTCACACCCAAAATGTTTACCATATTTAATATTGCCTATAAAATTTAGGATGTATTTACACTGTGGAATGAATGCAGTTTGACATCACTTTAATTATTATGGCTCAATGCTATGAAATTGTGGGATTTGTAGTTTGGTGAGGCACTAGAACTCTTTGGTGGAGAAAGTTAAGGAATTGCAGAATTCCAAAGCATTGAGCCATGGCAGTCAAAGTGGTGTCAAACCGCCTTAATTTTACAGTGTAGGTGCACCCTTAATACCACATCCATGAAGAGGCTGTACTAAGACTGAAAATGGAAAGTACTGAAAAAGGACACCAGAGCAGAGGGGGCTCAAGAGAGCCATTTCCTGAATAAATCATGCCAACTTGTCAAATAAATACCCTTGCTCTCTCATCTCAACTGCTGTGCATGCTCCACTTGAAACGGAGCCCTTTACAGACAGATAACGAAGGGCTCCATTTCAAGCAGAGGGCTACAGAAACCTACCCAGCACCAGATCCAACGTATCCATGCAGGGTTGAGTGTGCAATGCAATAGGACGATGCAATTGCATTTCAGGAGTCAGTTGCACCAGGAAGCAAAGGAAAAATGAAGGAATCGGGGGCCCTGGGCTTTAGAAGGTTTTTAAACTTTGGGAACTAGCAAATAGTTTTGATTATATTTCAAGCAGGGAAATTACTTGGACTATTATGTCTGTCCACAGAAAAGCAAGCAATCCCAAGTATTTCAACTTCCTTGCAACCAAAGCTGAAGACAGATTACTAAGCAATGATCTCACTCAAGAAATGAACTGAAATAGTTTTTCCTTGGCACCAGAAAAACATCTACTGCATACAGGGCTGTAGCCAGAAAAAAATTTCGGGGAGGGTTGACAATTTTGGCGGGGGGTGAAAATTTGGGGGGGGGGGGTTTGAAAATTTCGGGGAGGGTTGAAAATTTCGGGGGGGGGGGAGGGTTGAAACCTGCCTCCTAGCTCACGCTGAAGCAAAGAGCACAGCAGAGGGCAGAGCAGCCTTCAATAGCCTGCAGCTCCCCCTGTCAACCACCTCCACCAAGTCTGGCCTCCTTAATGAGAGCATTCAACACACAGACACCCAACTTGGTTGCTTCACTACATCGGCTATTGCTGCAAGTAATGACAGTGTGAATAAATTGTCAATATTTGCTTGAGATAGTGCTTGCAGTTCTGGAGGGACTCTTAATTTTTTGCATCTCATAGACTTAGCATGGGATTTGGTTAACCAGTTAAAATTCATGAGTAAACCAGGTTTTTTTAAAAAATCTGAAACATTTCGGGGGGGTTTGAACCCCTAAAACCACCCCCTCGCTACAGGCCTGACTGCATACATACTAGTATATGAAATACATATTCAATGGTACTTTCGGATCAGTGGGTTTCCTGTCCTATTTATTAACTAAAGTCCAACATAACAAGTCTGTTTTATATCTCTTTAACTTTCACCCAATTATCCCCTGAAATAAACAATCACAGAATTCAGAGGCTCATGACAAGGTGGTGTAATGCATCATATGGTGTGCCAGAATATAACATTAGTCAAATAAAGTCAACTCAATTCTACTATTAATGCTTATTTCAGCATTAAGGAATATCAGGAATATTTTTGACTAGATGACGCCTGGGCTGAGTAATCATGAACCAAGGGCTACCAGAAATCATTCATGCCGGCTGAGAATTAACCTTCTAACTGGGATTTAAAAAGAGGACAATATACACATAGATACAAAGGTTTATTTCCTCCAGTTGCCTATATAAAAACCTGGAGTTGAAATCATGTAGCTCTTCATATGCTGTTGGACTCCAATTCCCAGTATTCCAAAGCATGAGCTAAAATAGGTAGGGCTGTTGGGTATTGCAGTACAACATCATTGTCTAAATATCAACAAAATCAGCTGCCCAAACCTGCCTTTAAAGAATCATCATCAATGCCACTGCCACCACCACATTGGTTTTCTCTTCCAGGATTGAGACCCAAAGCAGCTTACAACTTTCTTCTCTACCAGGGATAACTTGGGAAGAAAATGCTCAGAAGGGGGAATTACGATGTTTTCTAGATTTTAAGGACAACTACCAGAATCGCTAATGAACATTAGGGAGAGATGTTGGAAGTTATGGTCAACTTCTGGAAGGCTTCAAAATCCTGATCCTTGCTCTTGTCATCACCCTACAAAAAGCATAGTCATGGAGATCCACCATGAAGAAAATTTTCATTTCCCAGTGCTTTAAATAAAGATTCCGCTTCCGAATATCAACGCAAACATCAAAAGTTGACAAAACTCAAGACACCAACCCATCACCTCTGGCTACTTTTCACTCTTTTATGGGAATAAGGTTTTTCCAGCACCTATCAACACCTTCACAAGCAAGGGTAGGCAACACTGTGCCTCTCCTGATGCGACTGGACTGCAGCTCAATTTCCCACCAAAAGCTTTTTTTCTTCAGGAATGACTTGAGGAACTGCAAGTCGCTTCTGCTGTGAGAGAATTGGCCGTCTGTAAGGACGTTGTCCAGGGGACAACTGGATGTTTTATCATCCTGTGGGAGGCTTCTCTCATGTCCCCGCATAAGAAGCTGGAGTTGACATCCTGCTCACTGGATTCGAACCAACTATCTTTTGGTCAGCAGTCCACCGGGGGCTCCAAAGGTGAGACTGACTAGAGATGGTGGAGACTTCGCCAGCATTTGAAGGGCCACCTTCTCCCAATCTCTACCATAGCCAAAATGATCTCATTTGATCTTTCAGTAGAAAGCACAAAATAGAATTTTGGGTTTTACATATTATAATAATTCAATTTTATTTAGTGCTTAGACTGTAAGTCTTTCACATAGAGAACAAACGAGTCAGTATATATAAGCTCAATTATAAAATACCAAACAATGCAACAGGAGGCAAGATGGCACCGGCACAATAGAAGGTGTTTTAATGGGTTCCGATATCTTTGTTGTTCCTTCTTTCTTTTTATAATGAAGATCAAAAAATGCACTAGGACAAGCCCAGAGACAATTAGATACTACAAGGCCTCCAAACAACTCAAGACAGATGAATTATTCCGGGAGGAAAATGTGAGTATTTCAGATTTAAATGCGCTGTGTAAAATTGATACTGATAACAGTTCCTCGGCCTTTGATAAAGGCAATGAGCCTATCAGAAGCCTCAGAAATCTTTGGCAACAATTTGGCTGTTTATCAGAGCCAAATGAGGAAGATGTGCCTGGGGTTTTTACATATTAAGACAGCAATTCTTAAATCAGGTGTGTAGCATGTATGTAGATGGGCACAACCTGAAAGCAGGTTTCATAGGGTTTCTGCAGGCAATAAATATTCAGAAGTGGTTTGACTAATTATTTCCTCTAAAATACAGAATGAAAACTTAGAAAGATAATTCTATACTACCAGCTGTAGGATTTTATAACTTCTGGGATTATCACTTCTCAGTAGAGAAGGAGTGGGCAAGCTTGCTTTTCTATCTCCAGCACTCTCCACAAGCCACATCACACTCCCCTAAACAAAACAAGAAATGAAAAAAAGACATATGGGTTTCCCATGGAAAGCTGGCAACTAACATCTTTCTATAGAACAAGAATCTTGTGATTGCACTGCTTTTGTTGTTGCGATTTTTGAGTTTAGCAGGCTTGGCATTAGAGTGGTATTTGTGGGGAAAATGCTAGGTCTTGCAGCGTTTGCAAAGATCCATGCTCAGGTCAATATGCCTTCATCCACCCCTTCTTATTGTTCTTCTCTCCATGGGCACAGGGACCCTAAAATTTCCGAATGTACTGCTGCCATTTTGGTAACCTATAGACATCACAACACTTGGGAGTGTGGAGCACAATATAGAATGAGACCATAGAGGCAGCAGCAAAAAGAGGAAGTCATTGCATAAGGCATTTAGTGTATGTCAATGTATCAGACCAATGAGGACTTGGACTAATTCAATATGCAAGCTGGAAGATTTTTCTAGTTAGATTTTTCCCATTATGAAAATCAAATGAATTTGGCCCCCAAATGATGGCTAGAGGACATGAAAGCATTCTCGCCATGTTTGGGGGTGTTCTTGGACCCCTAGAAATCATTTTGGGTTATTTACATAAAACATTGTATGTATTTTATGTTAATGTGTTTTGACTTTGTTGTACCCAGCCATCAGGAGAGGTAGATAATACATAAGATTCTTATTATTATTATTGACACAAAAGCACAGTATGTCACAGCAAACGAGATCTATAGGCTGGATTTCGTATCACAAAATCACAAGTCAAACACTTCCCAAGCATCTAGGACTGTGTGATGTATTATTATTATTATTATTATTATTATTATTATTATTATTATCATCATCATCATCATCATCAGAGGCAAAATAATTTATTTCATTATTTCAATTGGAAAATATTGGGGAGTGGACAAGGGCGCTCTTATGTTCCAGTTAGTAAGTGACCCAAGAACCAGCTGGCTGGAGTATAAGAGCTATTGAGCAATTAATACACTGCACATTAGTCACAGAATTAAGGGAGAAAAAGTAGGTGCAGAAGTGGGTACAAAGTCACAAAGACAACAAAAAGTTGTAAATTACAGCCAGTCCAAGGCTAGGAAAAAATGAACACCAAATAGTACTGCTAGTTGTTATGACTGACAGCAACAAAGCTGCCAGGAGGAGCTGAACAATTTACACAGCTGTTTCAAGACACCAGGTGCCTTAGTATATCCTACTGTACACCTGCTAGGAATGATGCAACTTCTCTTTGGCTCTGCCTGACTCGATGAATGATGATTATGGGTCTTCAGTGCTGAAAACCTCCTGCTAGGAAGTACCCCTTGTCCCAGCCTCAGAGACCATAGTTATCAGAAGCTGAAGATTTCTGCCCATCTATCTCTTCCCCTTCGTCTGAATCTTAGGATTCAGAGTGTGAGTTCTGACAGCTCCAAGATGATGAAAATTTATTTATTTATTTACAGCTTTTATATTCCGCCCTTCTCACCCCGCAGGGGACTCACGGCGGATTACAGTGTACACATATATGGCAAACATTCAATGCCAGTTTTTGACATACAAACATATACAGACATAGACAGAGGCTATTTAACTTTTTCTGGCCGCCAGGGGAGCTGTCGCTTTCATCGTCCATCTGGGACACTGATGAAGCACTTCCGCATTCCCCGCATGCTTCCCCGCTGGAATGCTTTGCTGGAGTCTTCTTTATGGCCTCATAAATCAGTTAATTTAGCCTCCCTACACTTTAAGGTGGTACCTTATTTTCCTACTTGACAGATGCAACTGTCTTTCGGGTTGCAAAGGTCGACAACAGGCTACACACAATTGGTTGGAAACCCACTCCAACCCGGGCTGGCTTCGAACTCATGACCTTTCGGTCAGAGTGATCTTAATGCAGCTGACATTCAGCCAGCTGCGCCACAATCCCTACACAGAAATCATTTTGGGCAATTAATAATTTTTTTAATTTGGATTTTTTTTTTACATGAAACTACAGGAAAAGAAAATGTGGAGGCAGTGACAGACTTTGTATTTCTAGGTGCAAAGAGTACTGCAGACGCAGACTGTGGCCAGGAAATCAGAAGACGCTTACTTCTTAGGAGGAAAGCAATGTCCAGTCTTGATAAAAGAGTAAAGAGTAGAGACATCAGACTGGCAACAAAGATCCGCCTAGTCAAAGCCATGGTATTCCCCATAGTCACCTACGGATGTGAGAGTTGGACCTTAGGGAAGGCTGAGCGAAGGAAGATAGATGCTTTTGAACTGTGGTGTTGGAGGAAAGTTCTGAGAGTGCCTTGGACTGCGAGAAGATCCAACCAGTCCATCCTCCAGGAAATAAAGCCCGAACTGCTCACTGGAGGGAAAGATACTAGAGACAAAGTTGAAGTACTTTGGCCACATCATGAGGAGACAGCAAAGCCTAGAGAAGACAATTATGCTGGGGAAAGTGGAAGGCAAAAGGAAGAGGGGCCGACCAAGGGCAAGATGGATGGATGGCATCCTTGAAGTGACTGGACTGACCTTGAAGGAGCTGGGGGTGGTGACGGCCAACAGGGAGCTCTGGTGTGGGCTGGTCCATGAGGTCACGAAGAGTTGGAGACAACCGAACGAATGAACAACAACAGGAAAAGAAATTCTTTCCACTCATTGGGAAGAATTCCTGATAAAAAGGGCTGTTTGATAGTGTAATATTCTTCCTCGGAGTATAGTGAAGTCTGGAAGTTTTAAATCAGAAGCCTAAATCCTTTAAAGAAAGCATGGAAAACTTGGAAAAGCCCTCCAGGTGTTTTGGACTTCAATTCCTACAATAACTCATAAGAGCCAGTAGGCTGCTTATTTATTTATCGTGTCATCAGCAACCATTGTATTACAATTCTAACAGAGCAAAACAAACACAGATTAAAAAGAAAAAGGAGAAAAAAACACAGATTTTGCGAACTTGGTAGTTGGTTAAATGTCCTTTGACCAGTTTCTGGCCACTTGGAGTGCCTCTGGTGTTGCCGCAAGAAGGTCCTCCATTGTGCATGTGGCAGGGCTCAGGTTGCATTGCAGCAGGTGGTCAGTGGTTTGCTCTTCTCCACACTCGTATGTCGTGGATTCCACTTTGTAGCCCCATTTCTTAAGGTTGGCTCTGCATCTCGTGGTGCCAGAGCGCAGTCTGTTCAGCGCCTTCCAAGTCGCCCAGTCTTCTGTGTGCCCAGCGGGGAGTCTCTCATTTGGTATCAGCCATTGGTTGAGGTTCTGGGTTTGAGCCTGCCACTTTTGGACTCTCGCTTGCTGGGGTGTTCCAGCGAGTGTCTCTGTAGATCTTAGAAAACTATTTCTTGATTTAAGTCGTTGACGTGCTGGCTGATACCCAAACAGGGGATGAGCTGGAGATGTCTCTGCCTTGGTCCTTTCACTATTGGCTTCCACTTCCCAGCGGATGTCAGGTGGTGCAATACCGGCTAGACAGTGTAATTTCTCCAGTGGTGTAGGGCGCAGACACCTGTGATAATGAGGCATGTCTCATTAAGAGCCACATCCACTGTTTTAGTGTGGTGAGATGTGTTCCACACTGGGCATGCATACTCAGCAGCAGAGTAGCAGAGCGCAAGGGCAGATGTCTTCACTGTGTCTGGTTGTGATCCCCAGGTTGTGCCAGTCAGCTTTCGTATGATATTGTTTCTAGCACCCACTTTTTGCTTGATGTTCAGGCAGTGCTTCTTGTAGGTAAGAGCACGGTCCAGAGTGACTCCCAGGTATTTGGGGTGCGCTGCAATGCTCCAGTTTGTCCATGAATTAACTATACTCCAGGGCCAAGCCTATTGCAGGGACAATCTCCTAGCCACTCTTAATTGGAGGCTCTAATCCAGATTCCCCCCCCCCCCCCTCCGCTCTCGGCTCGGATTGCGTCTGTGGCGAAGAGCAAGCAGGTGCTCCTTTGGCCCGAACACCTCCTCCTCCTCCTCTCGTACAGTAGAAGCGGGAGAGAAGGAGAGAGGGAGGGAGAAGGGGGCGGAGGGCTGCGGCGAGCGGCCCCCTTTTTTCTGCCGAGGAAGCAAGTCTAGCATTCCGGCCCTGGGTCTATACTTAACCTCTCCGCCGGGCTCCAGGGATGACGTGCTGGCCTCTGGCTGGGGCAGCCTCGCGTGTTGCACCGTATTAGGGCATGCCCGCCCGGCCAAGGCTCAGCCCCCTCCTCCCATTCTCCCTCCTTCTTCCCTTCCCCAGGGCCAGGACCAGGGAGTTTGGGGAGGGGGAGGCGACCCAGTCGTGAAACGACTGGGGCGCCTCCCCCTCCCCAAACCCCTGGTCCTGGCCCTGGGGAAGGGAAGAAGGAGAGCTTTGTGGGCGTGAGGGGCCCGGACTCCATTCCTCCTCCTTCCTTCCTCTCTCTCTCTCTTCCTCCCTCACTCACCCGGCCGTCATGGTGATGTTATAGAAAATAAGCCAAGCCGTCGTGACGGCGCTTCCCCGCCGCGCCGCCTTCTTCCCGTTCTCCTTCTCCTCCGCCGAGCCGTTCCCGTCCTCCTCGCTGGGCGCCATGGTTTCCCTCCCTCGCTTCCCCTCCTTCCTTCCTTCCTTCCCTAAAGGCCAAAACGGGGCGAAGGACGCAGCCCCGCCCCTTCCCCGCCCTCCGACCAATCAACAGCCGGCTCCTGAGACTGAAGGAAACGCCTGACAGGGAATAAGAAAAAAAGGCGCCAAAGTAGGGCCTTCCTGGACCTTCCAGCTGTTTGCGCCTCCAACTCCCAGAAGCCCTTGTAAGCTTCTTCAATGGTCAGGAATTCTGGGAGTTGGAGGCCCAAACAGGTGGAAGGCTGGGGTTTGAGTATGCCTGTGTCAAGGGAACTGCCACCAATTAACATGGGCCCCTTCTGTAGGGGCAAAGAAACCAAAATATTTCCCAAAAAGACAGAAGCCCCTTCTAATAGGGAGGGCAAGGATGGACACCACGAAAGTTGAATCTTTCAAACTGCAAAAAATATTTATCCTCTCTCCTCTGCAGGAGTCTAGCATATACCATGCAGCTGTGGACAAGTCTACATAGGGACCACCAAACGCAGCGCCCAAACACGAATCAAGGAACATGAAAGGCACTGCAGACTACTTCAACCAGAGAAGTCAGCCATAGCAGAGCACCTGATGAACCAGCCTGGACACAGCATATTATTTTGAGAACACAGAAATGCTGGACCACTCCAACAACCACCATGTCAGACTACACAGAGAAGCCATTGAAATCCACAAGCATGTGGACAATTTCAACAGAAAGGAAGAGACCATGAAAATGAACAAAATCTGGCTACCAGTATTAAAAAAACTCTAAAATTACAGCAGCAAAACAGCAGAGAGGAAACAACCAGGCACATCTTAACACCTCTCAACAGAACATTTTCCCAGGCTCAGCCAGGCCTTCAAATGCTAATGAAGGTGGTCAGTTGAAACATTCACACCTAGCTCAGCAGAGAGACTTCTTTGCCCCACCCTGGTCATTCCACAGATATATAAACCCATTTTCCTAGTTCCAACAGACCTCACTACCTCTGAGGATGCTTGCCATAGATGCAGGCGAAACGTCAGGAGAAATGCCTCTAGAACATGGCCCTATAGCCCAAAAAAACCTACAAGAACCTAGTAAACTATTTATTGCGTGGCCATAGCAATAATGACAAACAAGCATACAGGGATGCAATCAAAGGGTTTGTCGCAACCCCCAACGGGGCTGCAAAGCATTTATAGTAAATGGAAAATACATTTTCATTGGTTCCCAAAGACAAATCATTTCATTGGTCTAAGTTAGCTATACAATTGTTCATTAGTTGTTTATGATTTTGATTGACATTATTGCACACGTGGGATCCTAACAATGGCACAACTATAACATAACTATGGTCTATTGTTCTCTGACCATTATTTATTATTTATTTACTTTATTTGTATACCGCTCTTCTCAGCCCTTAGGCAACTCAGAGCGGTTTACAACAATTTAGGTATACACAATACAAAATCATTGAGCATTTAAAAGCAATAGCATCACAAATCATTAAACATCAATATCAATACATCACTACATCAATATAACAAATCCATCAGGTCTCATCAATGAAATCAGAATCCAAACTCGTTATCCGATATTCCGTGTTCCGATAGTCAGTCAATCAATCACACTGCTTAGTCGAATGCCTGTTCAAACAGCCAGGTATTTACTTTCCTCCGGAATGCCAGCAAGGAGGGGGTTGATCTAATATCTGCAGGAAGGGCGTTCCACAGCCGAGGGGCCACCACTGAGAAGGCCCTGTCTCTCGTCCCCACCAGGCGTGCTTGTGAAGCCAGCGGGATCAAGAGCAGGGCGTCCCCAGACGATCTGAATGTCCCAACTGGTTCATAGGAGGAGACGCGTTCGGACAGGTAGGTCGGGCCAGAACCGTTTAGGGCTTTAAAGGCTAAAGCCAGCACTTTGAATTGTGCCCAGTAGCAAATTGGCAGCCAGTGGAGCTGGCGCAGCAACGGAGTGGTGTGCTCCCTGAGTGCCACTCCTGTTAGCATCCTGGCTGCCGATTGTTGGACCATTTGAAGCTTCCGAGCAGTCTTCAGAGGCAACCCCACGTAGAGAGCGTATCTCTACTGTATCATATCTGTTAATCTGTTGCTAACATGGCTTCAGAGCGACTGGGAAACTTGGGGGTTCTATCTAGCCAACAGCTAGCTGGTTTTGCCTGGATATACTGTTATTCTTGAATAGTAACTTCTTTGGAGCACTGATTTCTCAAACAATCAGCATTTTCTGTGAACATAGGCCTACTGCAGAAATAGGCCAATATGGCAGTCAATCATGACCTATGGGCATTGGGGAAATATCTGAAAATTCCCTGTTTAAAACCACGTCCCCTCCACTTCCACACAGTTGAATAAAATCGCACATTATTTGCTTTGAACTGGGAGCCCTTCCACACTATTTACTTATTTACGTACCACATTTGTATACCGCCTTTCTCAGCCAGAGGCGACTCAAGGCGGTTCACAGTCGGCAGCAATTTGATGCCATAACAAATATCAAAATACAGTTAAAACAATTATAAAAAAAACAATTCGACATTTAAAATGTAATATAAAAAGCAAATATATCTGTAAAAACAAGATCCTCAGTGTCTCCTTACTAAAATCGTTTTCCAGTTGTGTCGTCAGTCATTCCATATATTCGTTTACATCTAATTATGCTCCAGTAGAAAAAGCTTGCTCAAAGAGCCAGGTCTTAACCATTTTGCGAAATGTTAGAAAGGGAGGGAGCCAAACTTATATCCCTGGGGAGGGCATTCCATAGCCGAGGGGTCACCACTGAGAAGGTCCTGTCTCTCATCCCCACCAAACACATCTGCGAGGAAGGCGGGATTGAGAGCAGGGACTCCCCAGATGATCCTAACATCCTAGATGGTTCATAAGGTGCGATACGTTCTTATGAACGTGCCAGACAACCCTATATCCCAGAATATCAAGGCAGAAAATCCCACATTATCTGAGGACCCTTCCACACTCAGATAATGTGGGATTTCCTATCTTGATATTCTGGGATATAGGCCTGTGTGGAAGGGCCCTGAGTGTGGACTCAGATAATCCAGTTCAAAGCAGATGTTGTGGGTTATTCTGCCTTGATATTCTGGATTACATGACTGTGTGGAAGGGCCCGTGGATCAAATATACTTTGGGACCTTCCACACAGATATATAACCCAGAATATCAAGGCAGGTAATCCAACAATAGCAATAACGAACTGGGTTATCTGAAGCCCTTTCCACACAGCTGAAGAAAATCCCACATTATCTGCTTTGAACTGTGATATATGGCAGTGTGGACTCAGATAACTCAGTTCAAAGCAGATGTTGTGGTATTTTATTCAGCTGTGTGGAAGGGGCCTTGACCCCACCTCAAATGCCACAGCTCCATCCAGTTTAGGCTGGATCTACACTGTCATAAAATCCAGTAGAAAATCAGATTTTTTTTTCATATCAGGAGTGACTTTAGAAACTGCAAGTCGCTTCTGGTGTGAGAGAATTGTCTGTCTGCAAAGATGTTGCTCAGGTGATGCTCATATGTTTGGATGTTTTACCATCTTTGTGGGAAGCTTCTCTCGTGTCCTCGCATGGAGAGCAGGAGCTGACAGAGGGAGCTCAACCCGCTCCCCCGGGATTTGAATCATTGACCTGTTCGTCAATTGCCGGCACAAGGGTTTACCCGTTGTGCCACTGGGAGGCTCCCCCTCCTCAGATCAGTTTCTGAATCCAGATCAGAATCTGTGGAAACAAAGGGCTATTTTTTTAAAGAATGGCTGGTGCTTTTTCTGACCCAATATTCTGGATCCCCAGAATCCTTCAATAACGTCTATTGTGTTGATGTAGTCCCAAAGTTGTAAATTAATGATAGACGTCTTCCATCCTGGATCCATCCCAGTTTCCTGGCCAGATGTTGACCTTCTTGATTGGTGTTGACAAAGACAAGGCTTGTGTTGACTTCCTTCTTAACATGAGGAATGTTGCAAACATTTCTGTTATCACTGTCCCAGTTCTTATCACAGCTTACTTTTAATTCTTATTAGCAGGTTTTGATCACAGTTCCAGCAAGCAGGTAGTTAGTCATAGCAAGACTTAATGTTTTACTGGTGCTTCCAAAATTATTAGCTCCACCCATACATTCACCTTCCATTCATCCATTCATTCCCACACTGATTTGATCTTCTCAAGGTCTAAGGCACTCTCAGAATTTTCCTCCAGCACCACAGTTCAAAAGCGTCCATCTTCCTTTGCTTAGCCTTCCTTATGGCCCAGCTCTTGCATCCATAGGTTACTACAGGGAATACCATTACTTTAACTATTTATTTATTTATTTATTTACTTTGCTTATATACCGCTGTATCTCAAGCCCGAAGGCGACTCACAGCGGTTCACAAACAGTAAAAACAGTAGAAACAGCAGTGGTTCCATACAACATATAACAATTGACTTAACACATTATCCATAAATTACCAATAAGCAATTACAATGCACAATTATTACAAAAAACAACCGTACCCAATCTTCTCATCATCCAAGCGTAGTCCAGGTTCGTCGTCCATTGTTCCATTCCTATGTTCCATTACCAGATTGCACTAAATTACTCAAACGCCTGCACAAACATCCAGGTCTTCACCTTTTTGCGGAATACCATTAGAGATGGTGGTAGTCTAATGTCCGTAGGAAGGGCGTTCCACAGCCGAGGAGCCACCACCGAGAAGGCCCTATCTCTCGTCCCCGCCAGCCGAGCTTGAGAAGCAGGCGGGATCGAGAGCAGGGTCTCCCCGGAAGATCTCAAAGTCCTGGTGGGTTCATAGGCAGAGATGCGGTCAGATAGGTAGCTTGGGCCGGAACCGTTTAGGGCTTTAAAGGCCAACGCCAGCACTTTGAATTCAGCCCGGTAGCAGATCGGTAGCCAGTGGAGTTGGCGCAACAGGGGGGTTGTATGCTCCCTGCGCTCCGCTCCTGTTAAAATCATGGCTGCCGAGCGTTGGACTAGTTGGAGCTTCCGAGCTGTCTTCAAAGGCAACCCCACGTAGAGAGCGTTGCAGTAGTCTAAACGGGATGTAACCAGAGCGTGGACTACCGTGGCCAAGTCAGACTTCCCAAGGTACGGGCGCAGCTGGCGCACAAGCTTTAGCTGTGCAAATGCTCCCCTGGTCACCGCCGAAACCTGGGGATCTATGTGGATCTTCGTTGCCAGTGTATGTTTATGTTTATTGTGGCATGGAACTATTGGCAATTTAGAAGCCACTCTGTGTCCCCTTTGGGGTTGAGATAGAGCAGGGTAAAAATACAGTAAATAAAATAAACAAAGAAATAAATAAGCATTGAAATAATAAGCATAGGAGCCCCCAGGGTTAAAGCACCGAGCTGCTGAACTTGCTGACCGAAAGATCACAGGTTCGAATCCAGGTAACGGTGTTAGGTCCCGCTGTTAGCCCCAGTTTCTGCCAACCTAGCAGTTCGAAAACATGCAAATGTGAGTAGATCAATAGGTACCACTTCTGTAAGAAGGTAGTGGCACTCCATGCAGTCATGCTGGCCACATGACCTTGGAGGTGTCTACGGACAATGCTGGCTTTGGCTTAGAAATGGAGATGAGCACCAACCCTCAGAGTTGGACACCACTGGACTTAGGTAAAGGTAAAGGTTTTCCCCTGACATTTAGTCCAGTCATGTCCGACTCTGGGGGTTGGTGCTCATCTTCATTTCTAAGCCGAAGAGCCAGCGTTGTTCATAGACACCTCCAAGGTGATGTGGCCGGCATGACTGCATGGAGCGCCATTACCTTCTCGCCAAAGCGGTACCTATAGATCTACTCACATTGCCATATTTTTGAACTGCTAGGTTGGCAGAAGCTGGGGCTGACAGTAGAAGCTCACACTGCTCTCTGGATTTGAACCTGCAACAAGTTTAGCACCTCAATGATTTAACGCACTGTGCTACCGGGAGCTCCCCACTGGACTTAACATTAGGGGAAAATCTTTACCTTTACCCTATTAATTTTAATGTATAACACATTATATTTGTATGTTTATGTTTATTGTGTCACTGAACTGTTGTCAATTTGGAAGCTGCTCTGATTCTCCTTGATACACAATTCAGGGTTGAGCACAATTCAAAGTGCTGGTTTTGACCTACAAAACCCTATACGGTTCTGGACCAGTGTATCTGTCCGAATGGATATCCCTCTACATTCCACCCCGGAGTCTAAGATCTTCTGGGGAGGCCCTACTCTCGACCTCACCTCTATCACAAGTGAGGTTGGCGGGGACGAGGAGCAGGGCCTTCTTGGTGGTGGCCCCCCGCCTGTGGAATTCACTCCCTGGGGAAATTAGATCAGCGACATCACTCCTTTCCTTTAGGAAAAAATTGAAAACATGGATTTGGGACCAGGCATTCGAACAATCTGGCAGATAAAGAAAGGACTTTGACAATGGACAGGAATTGACTAAGCGGAATGGAATTATGGAACTCTGAAAGACGAACGCTGAGCATGAGAATAGTTTTATTGATGTGTTATATACTGATTGTTTTGTTTTTAACTGTGATCATTGTTTTAACTATGGTTTTGTACATTATGTGTATTTTGTACAGGCATCAAATTGTGCCTTTTTGTAAGCCGCCCTGAGTCCCCCCTCGGGGGTTGAGAAGGGCGGGGTAAAAATACCTGAAATAAATAAATAAAAATAAATAAATTGATAGAACCAGGTAAAAAACAGTAAATAAAATAAATAAACAAATAAGCATTGAAAAGTCCATAGCATTGAATCAAGTGGTGTTGAACTGGATTAATTCTACAACGGAGCTGGCCATAGTTCTGAACATGAGCTCTCCATGAATGCAATATATTTTTGCTGTTCCGACTGTCATTCAAACTCCCAATACAATGGGGTCCCGGGGGAACTTTATTGGAAGAGGCATCGTAGCTGGCTAAACCACGCCTGCAGGGGGTGATGGTGGGAGGAATAGAATACTTTCAACCCCATTTCTCCGCACACACAAAAAGCATCGGAATGCAGGCAAGAAATTTAGAAAAGTCTCATTTCCCGGATCGAAACGTTGAGAATAAACGGACTTGCCTTTTTCTTATCAGGCAGTGCGCTGGACACCTTTTACTTCCTTTTCTCCCGGCATGCAGCGCGAGGCCGGTTTTCGAGGCGGCTCTGGCTTTGCTGAGAGAGGGAGGCGAATGAGCGCGAGGGAGGGAGGGGGCCGTTTGGGGGCGGAGCTTGAGCCGCCTTGGGGCCTCGCGCCCTCAGTCGCTCCGCGGAGGCGTTTGTTGCCGTTGGTTGTCCTCCCCTCCTTCCTCGCCCCAGGGCCGGAGGGGCGGACGGACGGAGCCTGCTTCCCTCGGCCGCTGCATTCCCTTCTCCCCGCTCGGGAAGATGCCGCTCTTCACGACGAACCCCTTCGACCAGGACGTGGGTGAGTAGAAGGAAGGCAGGCAGGCAGGCAGGCCCCAGAGGCACCCCAACCCAGGCTGGGCCCTACCCAGCTCCGCTTCTCCCTCGCCTCCCTGCTTTTATTTTTCAACACTTAGGTTTTTTATTGAAATCATCTCAAACCAGAACTTTTAAGAATGGCAGCTTGTGAGTGGCGAAGGCATAGATATTATATAAGTCTGCATTTAAGATTCTACCACAATCCAGCTGTTCAGAAGGATTTCTTTAGGTTTTGCCATAAGGTCTGCTGTATTTACATTACAGGTTGAGCTATCTTCATCCCAAATTCTGAAACATTCCAAAATTGGTTGAGATAGTGACACCTCTGATTCTAAACGGTTCCGGCCCAAGCTACCTATCCGACCGCATCCCAGCCTATGAACCCACCAGGACTTTGAGATCTTCCGGGGAGACCCTGCTCTCGATCCCGCCTGCTTCTCAAGCACGGCTGGCGGGGACGAGAGATAGGGCCTTCTCGGTGGTGGCTCCTCGGCTGTGGAACGCCCTTCCTACGGACATTAGACTAGCACCATCTCTAATGGTATTCCGCAAAAAAGTGAAGACCTGGCTGTTTGAGCAGGCGTTCGAATAATTAGTGCAATGATTGGTTAATGAACACTGGAATGGAACAATGGATAACGAATCTGGAACATGTTTTTGATGACGAGACGACAGTGAATGGGTATTGTAGTAACTGTTTATTAATTGTGTAATGTGTTAGGTTGTTAACTGTTTCTATACTGTAGCACTGAATTTTTGCTGTTCGTATTTGTTGTGAACCGCTGTGAGTCGCCTTCGGGCTGAGAACAGCGGTATATAAGTAAGGTAAATAAATAAATAATAAATAAGGGCCCTTCCAGACAGGCCCTATACCCCAGGATCTGATCCCAGGTTTTCTGCTTATCCCAGATTACCTGGCAGCGTGGACTCGCTTTTTAAATTTAATTTATTTATTTCGTATATTTGTATCCCATCCTTATTATTATTATTATATTATTATTATTATTATAACTTTATTTGTACCCCACTAGCATCTCCCAAGGGATTCGATGCGGCTTACACAGGCCAAAGCCCCAAAAACACAATACAACAATACAATACCCAAAGCAAATTAAAAACAGTTAAGCAGGAAAACAATAACAGTAACAATACAACAAGACACTATTAAAACTGGGCCGGCTGAAGTAGGGGTACAGGGTTAAAAGTCCTGATGTAGCAGGAGGGATGTGGGATTAAATATAAGTGTGGTGTGCAGTGTGCAGTGATCTTGGTTCTACTAAGATGCTTCTAGGATTTGGTGCTGGAGGTTCCTAATCTGAAAAGGCACATCGGAACAGCCAGGTTTTCAATTCCTTCCTGAAGACTGCCAATGTAGGGGCTTGTCTCAGATCTCTCGGGAGGGCGTTCCAGAGTCGGGGGGGCACCACAGAAAAGGCCCTGTCTCGCGTCCCCACCAAGCGTGCTTGCGACACGGGCGGGATCACGAGCAGGGCCTCTCCAGATGACCGGAGTGAGCGTGTGGGCTCGTAGACAGCGATACGGTCACGCAGGTAGGGTGGTCCCAAACCATTCAGGGTTCTCACCCCCAGTGGGGGACTTGGGGTGGCTTCACAACAGGCATTCATTCAATGCCAACAACAATAATCTACGAGGGGTATTTTTTAAGTAAGGTCCGTTTTGTTGTAGACACTAGTAGTTTGTGCACATACCGCAACGAGCACATACCGCATGCCTCGGGAACAACTGTGCTCAGTTTCCGCTCTGTAGCTAACCTGTACGGTTCTGTTCTGTGCTTTAAAAATGTTTAAGACTATCAACTCACCCGCCACATGTGAGGTTCGCTCAGTGATACGGTTTTTGTCAGCAAGGAACCTGCCTGCTGCAGAAATCCATTGACAGATTTGTGAAGTGTACGGTGATACTGTTATGAGTGAAAGCAAAGTGCATAAGTGGGTACGACAATTCAAAGATGGCCGTGACAACGTCCATGATGAGGACTGCTCAGGTTCCTTGCTGACAAAAACCCTATCACATGCGGCGGGTGAGTTGATAGTCTAAAACATTTTTAAAGCGCAGAACAGAACCGTACAGGTTAGCTATAGAGCGGAAACTGAGCACAGTTGTTCTCGAGGCATGCCGGCACACGACGCATGCATACCTTACTTAAAAAATACCCCTTGTATATAAATAAAAATGTAATGTTGGTTTGTGGGATTAACATAACTCAAAAACCACTAGACGTATTGGTGCCCCCGGTGGTGCAGCGGGTTAAACCCCTGTGCCGACAGGACTGAAGACCGACAGGAGGTCGCAGGTTTGAATCCAGGGAGAGGCAGATGAGCTCCCTCTATCAGCTCCAAATCCTCATGCAGGGACATGAGAGAAGCCTCCCACAAGGAAGATAAAAACATCAATTCATCCGGGCATCCCCTGGGCAACATCCTTGCAGACGGCCAATTCTCTTACACCAGAAGCGACTTGCAGTTTCTCAAGTCGCTCCTGACACGACAAGAAAAAAAATGGACAAATTGACACCAGATTTGGACACAAGACACCTATCAGGCCAACAAGTGACCATCACTCATAAAAACACTGAAAAACACAGCAAAGGGGACGTAAAAAGCCAAAAAACAAAAATTACATTACAACACATGTGCAAAACTGCACACATAGATATACATATACACAAATATATGCACACATATATATACACACACAAAACACATATGCACAGACTGGGCAACAGCAATGCGTGGCAGGGGACAGCTAGTTTATATAAATAAAAATGTAATGTTGGTTTGTGGGATTAACGTAACTCAAAAACCACTGGACAAATTGACACCAAATTTGGACACAATACACCTATCAGGCCAACAAGTGACCATCACTCATAAAAACACTGAAAAACACAGCAGAAGAGACTTAAAAAGCAAAAAAAAACCCCAACAAAATTTACATTACAATGCATGCACAAAACCACATATATATACGCAAATACACATATACACAAATATATATACACACACACATATACACACACAAAACACATATACACACACAAAACACATATACACACACAAAACACATATACACATACTGGGCCACAGCAGCGTGTGGCAGGGGACGGCTAGTAAATAATAAAAACAATTAAAATAAAAATTACTAAAACATTGTTTAAATTATGCAGGTTTGAAATCATAGTCCAGGTCAGTCCCTTGTCATTCACACAAATTGGGTCTCATTATAAATTGCTACCTCTACTGTTCGAACGCTTGGTCCCATAACCAGGTTTTGAGTTTCATTCTAAAGGACAAGAATATAATATAATCCAGTTTAAAGCAGAAAACCTGAGATTAGATCCTGGAATATAGAGTTTTGTCTGGAAGGGCTCTAAGCTGGATGTCAGTCTACAGTGTGATGTGGAAGCTGAAAAAGCCAATGCAATTCTAAGCCGCATCAATTGAAGTATAACATCTAGATCAGGCATGGGTAAACTTTAGCCCTCCAGGTGTTTTGGACTTCAACTCACACAATTCCTAACAGCCGCTGTTAGGAATTGTGGGGTGTTGAAGTTGAAAACGCCTGGAAGGTCAAAGTTTGCCTATGCTTGTAATTGTGGGAGTTGAAGTCCAAAACACCTGGAGGGCCAAAGTTTGCCCATGCCTGGCATAGATCTAGGGAAATCGTAGTCCCACTCTGTTCTGCTTTGGTCATACCTCACCTGGAATAACCCTGTGTCCAGTTCTGGACCCCACAATTCAAGAAGGAGGTTTTCAGAGAAGGCCAACCAAAATGGTCAAAGGTTTGGAAGCGCTGTGAGGGAATGGCTGAAAGAGCTGGGTATGTTCAGCTTGGATAAAGAAGGTGGAGAAGGGGACACAATAGTCATGTTTAAATGTTTTAAAAGATGTCTCATTGAGGAAGGGCAAGCTTGTTTTCTGCTGCTCTGCACACTAGCCCATGGAACAAATTGCAAGGAAAGAGATTAAATCTGAACATTAGGATGGTAAGAGCTGTTTGGCAGTGGAATATGTTGCCTCTGAGTGTGGTGAAGGCTTTAAACAGAGGCTGGATGATCATCTGTTTGTAGTGCTTTGACTGGGTGTTCCTTCATATCAGGGGATCATATTGGATGATCCTTGTGGTCTCTTCCATCTCTATGATTCTATAATGTCCACAAATTTTGCACACAGCTATCAAAATTATTTTGTATAGAACTACCTTTAGACTGTGTGTATATGAAATATAAACAAATTTCATATTCATACTTGGTGGTTATCTCCAAGATGCACATATGTACATATGTGCAAATAAAATAATTAAAAGCACTTCTGATACCAGACATTTTGGATAAGTTACTCAAGCTATATCAGTTAAGACTTTCCAAAAATTTCTAGTAGTGTAAATGGGATTATCCACAGGCTGTCCTTGTTGTTTAAATAGGCAGTACATTGAAAGCATTTTCCCAAACAACTTGTTCTCACTTTGCCTGATGCTCAGGGTCAGTTTCTCTTATGGTACCAAGTACAAAACCCTTCAGAGCTATATCCAAGTGCTCAAACTGTCTGCATATTTCCAACCCAGAGCTTCCCCACTCAGACACTCTCATCAGTTTGCTTCATTGTGAGTCAACTTTCCATTCCATCATACTTTGTCCATTATCCACTTATCCCTGAACCCCACCCATTTGCTTTTGTGATTCTTTATCCTCCCTTTATCCCACTATGTTAGTTGGGGTGAAAGTAATTTCATGTATTTCACTCCTCATTTTTAAATAAACGGCTTGAAAGTTCTGTAGATCACTCCTCTTTATTTTCAGTTTATATTGAAAAAATTATTCACCCCAATAATTCAGGAGATTCACATATATATTTACATTCAGAAGATGTTCTGATATATAAATTAAATGGTTATGGTATTATATAGAGTGCAGTGAGTTAGTTTTATACATTTAGAGGGTTTGCTTACTACATGCATAGTTGGAAATGGCCCAATAAAATGAATGTTTGTGTATTGCCCCCATCTGTATATTTTGTATTCTGTACAATATGTTTATGATAGTTCCTTCATTGTAGGAATATTACAGCGTGAATAAATTCTCTTTTCAGCTGGTGTACCTCTAGCGTTTCACACAAGAACGTTATAGAATATTTTGAAGAATTTTGTGCATGAAACAAATTTTGTACACATTTGTATAAGAGTAATGAGATACAATAATATAAGAAACAATGATAGAAAGATTCAGTGCAACCCTAAAAGTTTAGTAAGAGTGAAATTCATGTTAAAAACAGCAGAAAAAATAAGAGGAAAGGAGGAAAATTGCCATAATAGAGAACCAAACAGTGTGGTGGTGTAGTGGGTTGAGTATTGAACTACAACTTTTGGAGATCAGTGTTTGGCCATGAAAACCCGCTGAGTGACCTTGAGCTCATCACATTCTCAGCCTCAGAGGAAGGCAAGGGCAAATCCCTGTGAACATATTTTGCCCAGAAAACCCTGAAGGAAATTTCTTTTGGGTCATCATAAATGACTTGATGCATAACAAGAAGAACAAGTTTCCTATTAAAACCTGTTAGAAAAAAAATAGTTGTCTGACATGAAATCCCATGACTGGATGACTTCAGTGCTTATGTAGAGTCAGCAGTGATTCATAAAACCGTAGGATGTCTGCCAGAGGGATGCACTTGTTAATACTGGATAGTCTAATCGTCGGAGATCCACTGAAACAAAATATGTAGGCAATCTAAGGAAAACTATTGTTTTTGGAGAAAGGGAATAGAAATCCAAAGAGAGCAACTTTTTTTTAGCATGAAGTGTAAATTGCATAGAAAATAAAATGATTTTGTTCTTCCAAAACAAAGATGGAGAATACTATGTAGCAGAATCCACACTTGTTAACTCACTTGTTATTCTCCATTCAGATCTCCCAAGGAGCAAGCCTTTGGTGTGTACAGATTCATGAATTCACTCTTCTCCCACAGGGAAAAATATTTGCTAAGTGCAAGGAACCCCTAGGTTCAAATAACTGGAGTTTTCAAGTGTTTGCTTTTCTCAGATTAAAGTGGGAACAAAGTGAATGGGTTTGTGTAATCTGAGGTCTGCTGTTCTCAGAATGAGTGGATAAAATATATTAAGAGGCTTCAGAAGTGGGCAACTGGATATTTCTTGCAAGCGTACAAACAGGTTCTGATGAATATCATGGCTAACTTCATTAACAGAATATATGGCAGACAAAAATGGCCATATATTCTGTGTGTGTGTATCTTATTCTGGTGATAGTTGAATTAAAGATAAAATAAATTTATGACTTGCTGTTTACTATATATGCTCACATTTAAGTTGACCTCATGTATAAGTTGAGGGCTGATTTTGGGGGCCAAAATTATGGATTTTAATATGATCCGTGGATAAGTCAAAGGTCATTCCACAGAGAGGGGACAGCACTAACTCTTTCTCAGAGGGTCAGTCCCACCTGGTTGCCACACCATTTTTTCACACAAGCATCAAAAAGGCCAGAAATGGCACCACAGCAAGGAGCGGGGAGTACTTCTTTTTGATCCTCCCAAGACGAATTAAACTCTTTCTGTAGATCACTCTTCTTAAAGAAGGGGACAATTCTAATTTTTGATAAGAGCAAAGATGCAATCGTCATACTGACACATGGATAAGTTGACCAGATTTTTTGGTTGATTTTTAACTAATTTTTCAAGACTTACACATGAGTATAAAATATATCTATGTGTTTTTGTAAAAGCTTACATGCAGTGGGTTTCCTTCATAAATTCATTTGTTTACTCATGGGTTCTGTGTTTGGATTTTTGTAGGGGGGGTGGTGGTTGCACTTATGCTAATCATTGCTTTTAGAAACACTCTCAAAATGTCCAAAGGTCAATACAAACCTAGTTATAAAGCAACATCCCTGTCAAAACCCTAGATTTTTAATAACATATACACAGAGAGGTATGTTCCATCAAGTCGGCTGGAACCTGAGCCTAAGTAAACATTCATAGGGTCAGTGCTGTGCCTTGAATTATTTTTTAAATGGTTTTATCCTGTTTAAGAAGGGTCTTTTGCAAGTATATATGGCTGTGTTCAGTAACGTATATTAATTGGGAATAAGTCCCATAGGAAAGCCAGGGAAATATTGTCTAACTTCAATGTTGCTTTTTAAAATTATTTCTCTAACTGAAGAGCACTTTGGTGTTGGCATTATAGAAGCAGAGGCGGTTTATCTTTTGCTTGCTTCCCAGAAATGATTGCTATCTGCAAATCCTCTTGAGTGGAAACAAGAACTTAATCAATGAAAGATATACTTGCAGTTTTTAAGACAGCAAAGCTGCAGTCAAGGAGTGGGGGGATGTTGTTTCCCCATCTTCTTGCCACTTTCAGAAATATTTACAGACTTTCAAACCACTAAAGAATCCCAGTATCTTGTCTGGTAGAATTCATTTACACAGATAAATATAGTTCAGGCATTGAACATTGAAATCATTCTTTGAATAATTATAGTGATGGTACAAATATTTGACAATGTGAAATTTAGGCCAAAATAAATTTAGTGGCATATGCTGATGACATATCTAATCTATACCATATCAATTTTGACCTCTAAATCTATTTAGCTCCCTGCATAGAGTATAAAATTTCAAATTCGGCATATATTTACAAGACTGTTCGATAATGGAAAACTTTTACGCAGCTCTTCTAATTTGTTGGTGGTGGGGAGTACTCAGTTGTCTCCAAGTAGTTACCAGTGTTTCATGAATTTCTGAAAGTGTCATAAGTTGATAGTAGAATAGTAATTTATGTATGTATGTATTTATTAGCATATTTATATATTCAATGTTATCTTCTTTATTGTGAGATACAGTTACAACCATGCAAAAATGTAATAACGAATTCCTGATAAAATAAAATATTTTAAAATACAAAACAGTAGAAAAGGCCAAAACACTTAAAACCCTGAACATTTGTATTTTAAAAAAACAAAAAACAGCATAGGCCCTCTATTTTCTAGCCCCAGCTGAATCAATAGCAGAATGAATCAATGCTTTCTATAAATTTCATTGATAGAGTAGGTCAACTCAAGTTAGGACTAGCTATTAGAATTAGGTCATTCTTTTCATGGAAGAGATTTCCTTGGTATTTTCAATTAAAACAGCCAGACAGTTGATTATAGAAAATGCATCTTTCAGAGATCCTAAAAAGCCATTGTCAATCAAAGTAGACAATACGTGGACTGTTCTGTGTCTTATTATGAGGACATATTCGAAACTGAAAATTAATAGTTGTTAACCGCACAACACCCCAATAGCTGTTAATTTTTAACAAGTATTTAGAAGCTTCCTGATTGCTATTTGTTTTGATATCCAAAAGTGAAAAATCACTTATAAGAACTCACTGTGAAAAGGAATATGGTTCTGTGTGCATAACCGTCAATGTTTCTTGCAGAAATCAAAGCCATGCAAAACTTGTGTCCCAAGATGATGATAGTTCAGATATGTTAAGCAAACCTGATCTTAACATTTATTATTAGCTCAGTCCTTACTTTGGAAGGCCCACAGTGTTTACTGTGTAATTAGGATTGTATGCTGTGCCAGATTTTACTGGTCATCTTGCTCTAGCACATGCAGGAAGTCTAATTTCAGTATTTTGGATTTTGGCATTATGGATAAAGAATGCTTAACCTGTAGTGTAATTTGACTAGCCATGACTGTGCTGAGTCTTATGATATGATTATTGTAGATCATCATTATCTAGAGTCATTATAATGTTGATTTCCCACCCTTTTTAAAAGCGTTTTTGCTTCTACTTCTGTTGGTAGTTCCAGAAAACATTGATACTGAAATATAGTAAAATGAAATTGTATGCAATTTGGATAGTTAAGACAGCAGTGGTTGGTAACATCTTTGAATTGCCTGATATGAGTTTATGACATCTTAATCTATACAGGTGGTAATATAATGGTCTCAAGTTAGTGAATCATCATTTTATGGCAGCTGGGATGTTGGGGGAAGGGACTTAAGTACATCTTACAGAGTTGACTTCTGCCTGTGTTGCACTACACTTTCTACACAGACCTTTATTGTATCTTATCTAATACCTTTCAGTCTCTCTTCCATTTTTTCTCTGTATGCTACATGGCACATTTAAACCATTTTTTTAAAGCAAAAATGTTCTTCCAGAAAGCAATGTATGGCAGTGTTGCACAATCACATGAGGTAGAACTATGACCTCTTGTTTTTAATTTTTTCACCCTTCATCAGTTTTAAAACCTTTTTTCCAAAAACAAGAACATACTGGGTTTTTTTTTTAAAAACACACTTTACTATTATGCTTAAAATGTTTAACATTCCTGCATATTTTGCACAGTGGATGACAACTGAAAGATTGCATGACACCTTCACACACCAACATCTGGATGGAGTCTGGCAGATCAAAACAATACCCAGAGCAATTTTTCAAAGCAAAGATCAAGGGTTTACATGATAGAGTATATTATTGCTGTCATGCAGGATCTACAGAAGCGGCTGCAGCAGAAATGTGTTGACTTGACAAACCAATGTGCTAATGTCTTGAGTAATGAGAACCTGCTATTAACCATGTTCACACCCTTAGAACTACAAGTGTGTTATGTTTTCTTAAGAGTTCGTGTAACATTTCATTTCAGCTAAATTTTGATATAATGCTGCAGTAGGCCTGCATTCAAGAATCATCTGGAAGAATACATTTTAAAAAGATGACCATATCAATTTGTGTTTTAGCACATTTTGTTCTGTGCAGTGCACTGAATTTTTAGCAGTGTTGACATATATTCCATCTCATTTTGTTTATTTCAAGAAAAAGCAACCAGTGAAATGAATACGGCTGAAGATTGGGGGCTTATCTTAGATATTTGTGATAAAGTTGGACAGTCACGAACAGGGTGAGTATATTTCTTGTTTAAGATCTTCATTTTATTGCAGTTATTTAAAGTTCAGTTTAATTTAGAAGATTATGAGATAGCAGTTTCACTGCAAAGTGTGGAATTACAAGAAGGTATTCTGAGAGGACTACAAAATTTTATGTGTTACAAAGTGTTGGTAGTTTTGAGAAGCATCAAAAGCTTGGAGTTCATTTAGTGCAGGCATGGGCAAACTTCAGCCTTCCAGGTCCTCCTCCCACTGCTCCCAAATCTCAGAAAACATGGGGGAAACTGCTGGGTTTTGGCCAAAAATATGAAATTGTAAGAGATCTCCCATCACTTCCTATGGTTTCTGGTGATATGGCCAGCAGGTAGTGGGGATTCACAGCCTGCCCAGTTGCCTGACCTAAAATAGCTAGTTCAGTTTTGCTCTCTTTGGATCTTTAGACAGTAGTGGGGTACTGACTTGCAATTGTGACTTTATTTTATTTTAACGTTAACTACGTTTCACATGATCTAATATCATTATCACAATTGTTGTTATTTTCCCAGCCCGGAACACAAAGTTGGCTTACAGAAATTAAATAGATTCATATAAAAAACCCACATCATTAAAAACATGCAAAAATATAATCAATGGAATTTGAAAATGTGCATCTATCAATAGCATACCCTTAAAACAACAAACACATACAATAAAGCACATTATCCAAAGCCCTTTTGCTATGAATAGGTCTTCCCCAAAGGTCTTTGCCTGATGCTCAAAGGGCATTACAGAGGGTACTAGTTTATGCTTTCTAGAAACAGAACTCCAGAGCAAGTTGGTCCTCTTCCATGTTCCCACAAGATGTACAGTATCTACAGGAATGGTTGGATGGAAAAAGTGTATCTCCCGAGGTTTCAAAATTTGGGCAGAATATGGAATTATAGCCCTGCAGCTAATTTGGACTCAAGGTGGTTGTATATCAGATTTTAAATGTGTTTCCCCATGCAGTAAACACAAATAGACTTAATTGAAATGCTGAGACCATGAAAGCAATCCCTAGTGATCTTTTTAACGTGGCTTGACTTAAATTGGTTTAAAAAGATATGTATATATTTGCATGGATTAGCTTATTTTTATCATCTATTAAATGGTACCGTAAAGTAAGTTGTTGCTGTAGATTCATTTGACTAGAAAATTGAAATGAAATGTGTGCTACAGAATGTTATATATATTTCAATTAATCTTTCACTGTTTAAGCCACTTTTTCAGCATTATCGTAACAGTGGCTATATTGATGAATTTTTAAAAGAAAACAGTAGAAGTTTTCCACCGAGTTGGATTTGTCAAATGTTATAAATTAAAGACCTTGAAATTATTGTTTTTCTAGTTATTTTTGTCAGAAACTTGGTAGCAGAATAAGACAAGTTCACAGATTTGTACAGTGAGAAATGATTGTGCTGTGTGGCAGCATTTTCTATAATTAGTAGTGCTAAGTATGATACATAGGTTTGTTAAATATAGACACCACTAAATATAAATTACTCAATGCTACAGTGTAATTTAAGCCAGACCCACCTTAAGTAGCTTAATATTAGTGTTTGCTGTAAAAATGAAATGGAGAATAGAATTAAAATCATTAAAGTAAAATGAAAATGTAATCTCTTAATTGCTATAATAAAAAGCAGGTAAATTCCTTGTCTTTAAAAGGGAGAATTCTATTACTTGGTTGTGGTGCTATATTTACTAACTCTTCACATATATAAGAATAGCATTTATTTCTATAACAAATGCAGTATTTGATGTTTCTTAGTGGTAATGCTATTAGCCAATCCTAAGAGCTATTACAGCAAACAGGTCACTGTCCAAGATATTATTTATGTTTTATACAGACTTGCTTTGTTTAGATTTCTTTTGAGCGAAAAAATCATATTGAATGTAAAACACGAATGGGAGACATGCAGCCTCAGCTACTATAGCCAGTGGTGAGGATTGCTTGCAGTTGGAGCGCTGCAGAGTGTCCACCCTGTTGTAGAAGTTGGTCCAGATTAAAAGATTGATCTGGTTTTTTGCCAGTTAGTGTAGAACTGGCATGTATAACGTGTGATGCATGCCTGTATCCTGTGTGACCCTCATGCTAAATGGTCCTACCCACATTCCCCCTGCAGCTTGACTCATTAATTCATAGCCAAACAAACCCCCATCATGTAGGTTTTTACTCTCCTCCCATTGGGGTTTTTATTAGATGCAGGTATCTCAGTGATGCCTCAGGAAAGAAACAAAACCACTCATCATTTTCCCCTGAATTCTTACTGAAAGGCAAGAGTAATGCCTCCTTGTTTGCAATCATTTTTACATAAAGCACCTGCAGGTACTGTACTGATACTTCTGGCAAAAGCTTTGCAGACAGTGCAGTTTTGCCAGATAATCCTTCTGCTGGAGAGCACACAAGTAGAATTACAGAAGCTGTTATTGATGTGGAGTAGTCATTTTAAAGTAATTTGGTTTAGCTGCTAGAGCATAAGACTTTGCTAGCTATAGAAAAAGGTTGTTGTTAATTTCCTTTTATATTCCTACATATTCTTTCTTTCTGGTTAATTTTGTGATTGGTGCAGATGTATTTTTAAAATGTCCTGTTTGTATTTATTAGACCTAAAGATTGTCTTCGTTCTATTATGAAAAGAGTGAACCACAAGGATCCTCATGTTGCTATGCAAGCATTGACGGTATGTTGCTTTTTTTTAAAAAAAAAAAGCTTAATAATTGTAACTTCTACTACATGATACTTAATTTTGATCCCCCCCCCCCCTCTCTTTTCTTTAGCTTCTTGGAGCATGTGTCTCAAATTGTGGTAAAATATTTCATTTAGAAGTGTGTTCAAGAGATTTCGCTAGTGAAGTAAGCAACGTCCTAAATAAGGTAATGTATGCTAAACTTATTAAAGGTTGCCATAAGGTTGTTGAACATATAGGGAGGGAGTTAACATCTATTATATGTTTCCTGAAATAAACTGGAGGCATTGTAAACTTTCCTGATACTGTATTGTTGAAGGCTTTCATGGCCGGAATCACTGGGTTGTTGTAGGTTTTTTCGGGCTATATGGCCATGGTCTAGAGCAGGGGTCCTCAAACTTTTCAAACAGCGGGCCAGGTCACAGACTTTCAAACTGTTGGAGGGCCGGATTATAATTTGAAAAAAAAAACATGAATGAATTCCTGTGCACACTGCACATATCATATTTGTAGCACAAAAAACACTTAAAAACAATACAATAATTAAAATGAAGAACAATTTCAACAAATATAAAATTATTAGTATTTCAATGGGATTGTTGTTGTTGTTGTTGTGTGCTTTCAAGTCATTTCAGACTTCGTTTGACCCTGAGTGAGGGCCGGGTAAATGATCTTGGAGGGCCGCATCCGGCCCCCGGGCCTTAGTTTGAGGACCCCTGGTCTAGAGGCATTCTCTCCTGTATCTTTCCTGATACAGTATCTTTCCTGATACTGCTGGCTTGCAAGTTGGTTTTGGTTCTTTAGATGCTTTTGATTTCAGCTTCCAGAATTCCTGATCATTTGAAATCCTGGTTGAGACTTTTGGGAGTTGGAAATCCCAAACACCTGGGGACTCACATTTGGGAACTACTATTTTAGAGTATGACTGAAGATGTGGGTAAGATTAAAGTTGATGTAGGATTGATACAGATGAATGAAGCATAGTTTTGCTTCTAAAAGGCTGTGGATTGAAAAGACGCATATTGGATCCATACTACATTAGTCACATTTCAGCCCTACTGAAGTCATTCTGAATAGTGAGGATCAAATTGTGTCAACCAAATTCATGAACTGAAATAGGATCCAACTTATGATGAGTTTCATAAATGTCATACAACTTTTATCTTTTTCAGGGTCATCCAAAAGTCTGTGAAAAATTAAAAGCGCTCATGGTGGAATGGACCGATGAATTCAAGAATGACCCCCAACTTAGTTTGATATCTGCTATGATAAAAAATCTTAAGGAGCAAGGTGTTATGTTTCCTGTTATTGGTTCACAGGTAAAGTGCTCATATGCAAAATAGCAACTATTTAATACAGAAATCACAAAAAAGTAACTAACGTAGGTGTGATGTCTCGGCCTTGTATTATTTCCCTGGAGTTAGACTGTTCCATTCTACTAGAGTTTTAGAGTAGGAGTTTAGGATCCCCCTAGAGGCCGAGCTCAGTTGGTTCAGCCCATTCTGGCTCAGAGCTTGGCAGAAAGACTTTTTATYCCATTYTTTGTTGGTCWTAGCTTRTWGAYAGTTGCCAGATAGTGTCTGGTCTGGCCTRGCAATTTGAACAGGCCATCCTAATCACGTATTWGCCATAKAATAGTTATAGATAGTTWGMYWKAWAGWTYATARWWMATATWTGYMMTRWAGGATAGAKARTAT